TATATATATATATATATATATATATAGGCCTAAGGTATAAAACGGACAAAAACAAAGCGGTATCACAAGGCTAAAATTCTTCCATAAAAATACGTATAAAATATAAACAAGGATCACCAAACAACAAATAACTATGAATCGCTAAAGACCATCATATATATCATAGTATGCTGCGTATGTACCGTAAACACAATATAAACAGAGATAAAGAGTGCTCAAATTCGGGCAACGCCGCTTTAGTTAGACAAGAACCACAGTGGCAGATTTGGGAATTTGAAATAGAGGAGATTCAGGGTGGGAATTTCACAGATGGAGAGTAGACCACCCCAGTCCCACCATGATTGATGGGGCTAAACGATTACGGTACCTCTAGATGGCCGAAAATGGCACTCTCAGACTTATAATGTGGATTTTGTAAACGTTGAATAATTTATGTTGGGTAGGGAGGGGAGCGGTGGCCGAATGGGCCTCCTTGAATCCGCCATTGCACACGTCAGGGGTAGAGCGAAACTGGTGAAAATCCGACTATTTAGTGATTTAAAAGGCTTATTTAATTGATTTCAAAGCTACATTTTCTCTAAAACTTACATAGTTTTCTATTTCCGACAGGGGGTTGGGGAAATTACTGTCCCCTGACCCACATTTAGTGCCACTCCATTGCAAATCCTCCTTTTGAGCAAACCCCTCTGATTAACCAAACCAACCAAACTTGCATTAAATACTTTCAAACTGATGACACTTGCCATCTACATGCTAGACTTTATTCATTTGCATTCAAAAGTTTCAAATGAAAGTTGATATAGGCTTACTTGCACAGCCGTCTTCTTATTCACACTCCTTCACATACCAAATCACATAACGTCACCCCATTCCACATAACGTCATGGTGATTGCACATAATAGTGTTTGCACATCATAACCGAAGATACTAACGGCGTTCCATAGTTCAATACTTAATATCCGAATTAGCAAAATTACGACATCTTGGGGATTTTCCTAAACGAAAATAGACTACTGGATAATATATAAGTGGGTATTTACAAATTTCCTCATTCTTGATAGGTGTGTGGATAGGTGTGTGGATAGGTGTGTGGGAGGTAAGTAGACATCTTATCGGTTGTTTTGGAAAATACAATGGTACACTAACCATGCATGCAAAGTGTCAATCAACATAGGTCGCAGTATGATATAGGCCTTTGTAAATAAAAATTATATATATGCATATATATAAATATTATATATATATATATATATATATATGTGTGTGTGTGTGTGTGTGTGTGGGTGGGTGGGTGTGTGGTTGTGGGTGTGTGTGTGTATAAAAATCATAGTATGCTGTATGCATAGTAGGCCTGTTTATAGGACAACATTCTTTGAGAGTTAGGCTACAATGTAGTTAGACCTATGTCCTTTATTCGAACACTGTATTTACCTTCATTTGATTATATATATATACATATATATATATATATATATATA